TCTCTCTCTCTCTCTCTCTCTCTCTCTCTCTCTCTCTCTCTCTCTCTCTTTATAGCTCAGGCTCATCAAGAAAACACTATGTACCCCAGGCTGGCCTCCTACTCATAATCCTCCTGGCCTCAGCCTCCCAAGGGCTGTGCTTAAAGGCATACGCCACCACACCCAGCTCCTGAATCCTCTATATAGTATGTAGAACATTCTTACTATTTGTCCACTATGTTAAGCTCCAAAATATCATCATCTGGGGTAACGTAGCAGTGGATTAACAGGACCCTGAGCACGTTGCTGACATAAAGATGGCACAACAGGAGCCCAGTGACTGATCTGGTATTTGGATCTCACACAGGTATGTATCAGGCACAAAACTTCAGATGTACAAAAGGCAGTGCAGGCTGCCGACTGCTGGAAGGGAGCCTCTGATAACAGGTGCATTTTTCCAAGCCCTGAAATAACAGGTTTGCTCCGAGTGAATGGAAATAAGGTAGTGGGCGAACTTTGGACCAGGGTGGGGCTGACACATTTATGCTTGCTGAAATGGTATAACTTTACATTATTATCTGCATTTCAACGGGGAGATTATCTGGACCAACAAGTCAATGCTGTCCTTAAGCCATGACTGTTTACTACATAGCACAAAAGAGATACACGTAGGGGAAACCCATCTCTTCCTAGGCTTGACATACGGCCTGTGTTCAGTAAGGACTTGCTGACAGTATAGAAACCTCTCCTAAGTTTCAATGGCAATTATACCGTAAGCCTGAGGAACAAAACCAATTTTAATCAATAGATTCACCAAGTGTCATATATCTCCAGGGCTGACAACAGTAGAAAAGTAATGCTCTAATCTACTTCTCAGACAAGCCAACACCACCCAGAGTACGGCACTTAGGTGTCTCCGGTGTGTAATTCAGTTACGATGGGAAATACCTTTTCATTAAATTACTTTCTCTGAAGACTTCAAATCAGACTAAACCTATTGCTCAATAAATTTCTCCTAATTAAACAATGCAGTACTACAGGCAAAATTAATAACCAGTCTCTTGAACTTTATTAAATGCAATCAGATACAAGTTAGAAACAGCTAATTATGAATAAATGTTAGATGAAGGGCAGAATGAACATTTTACAGTTCACTGGGTTCCGATGGGTATATGTATATGTACACACACACACATGCACGCACGCACACACACACATGAACATTTTACAGTTCCTTGTATTCCAATGCGTGTATGTATGTACACATACACATAAACGAAGATCTTATAGTTCACTGTGTTCTGATGGGTATATGCATGTATACACACGCACACACACACACACACACACACACACACACACACACACACGCTTCTGGATTCTCAGAGTAGTGGCTTCCCATACATTATAAAAGCTGTGTCTTAGAACCTTATTTCACATGGGAACAGTCCTTTGGTGCCTCCTCTGCTCTTCAGGGAGAGCCAGAGTTCCATTCTCAGAATACCAAATTACTAATTCCGTCAGTCATTACAAACACTCAAAGAATGTACATGCCTTCACTCAGACACCAACAATCATATTTTAACCTCCCAGTTGTTGAAAATTATGTGAAAGCTAACAGAAAGTCAAACATTTTCGCCTACATAAACCCAGTCAGTTTGTCTATGACAAAGTGTCTGCATTGAAATGCTCGGGCATGCACGAATGGAATGCACTGTTTTTCTAACTGCTGAATTTCTCAAGCAGTGGAAAAAAAATGTTTATCTCTATCCAAGGCACTAACCTCACAACAGTGCATTGTAACACTCTAATCGAAGATGGTATAGAAAATCCTATTTGTAAATAATAAAGTCAACCTGGTTCTTTTAAGGGAAACAAATGAGTCTTCCAACATGTAAAGAAATAAGAAGTTTAATCAACACAGAAAGCAAATCGGCAAATATTTTTGTCAAAATTGCTCCCTATATACTCAGATTTCGAGTCTGAGATCGCTAACCTGCAATCTATGCAGCAATGCCTAGGGAAGACCACATAGAAGTGAGTAGAGCTCCGTGCTTAAAGAAAAAAGTAAATTAGAGTATTCTGAAATCATTTCACAAAGTGAAGCATGATACTGGCTCTATTTCTTCTAGTCACAATGACTGTGAGGATGGTGGGAAAATGAACCGCCTTCCCAGACTCAACACTTTGAGGTATTTAGCAGAGTCAGGAAAGGCCCAGTGCAGAGGATTTCCTAACTGTGTGAGCATGTGCTCCACAGGCGAACCATTCTCAGCGTATTCACAGGAGGCCAGGGGAAGCCCTACCTCCTGAAGGAAACATGAAGACTTTATGCATCGCACTGCACATGAACGGAGCTGCCCTAGTCTATGGGAGAGTGAGCAGAGAAAGAACACCACCTGTCATGTTACTGCGATGGCTCTGGTGATCTCAACTGTGGGGATCTTTCTTGATTTTATTCTGGAACTCCTTAACCCAGGTTTAGTTTACCTTCTAACACAGCAGGTCCCTTCCCAGAAGCAACCACTCTGCGGCCTGTGTCAACAGCTGGATTCTATGCATGATATACTCTACTGTGAAAGGTTCATAGGATGAAATGTGGGGCTATTTTCCAAGGCATAGGATGCAGGGTACCCTTTTCTCTCTGAGAACTGACCCAACACTGGGAGATATCACACATTCCTGGCATTTCTTACTCTGAGCCAGAGAAAATACTCTCATTCAAATGTTGAATTACTAAGTCAGAATTTTCCCGACTAGTTTAAGAGCCTAAAATGACTCCAAAAAAATATTGAATTAGAAAATTAAAGTTCCCCCACCCCTGTAGGATTTATCAGTCTTAATTTATGTTAATACTGGTAATCCCCAGAATGCTTGACACTCAAGCTTATTAGGATTTATCTTGCTCCTTGGCAGGGTTTTTCCTCCTCCCTCACCAGTCCCTTTTGCCTTATACATTAAACAGTAGTTCAAAAAGATTTAATCCATTTTTGCAGTGGTATGTGGAAATATGCCTCAACACCTAGAAGTAATTTTAGAAAACGCAAGACACACTTTTCAAGCACAAGCACAAGACTCCATTGTTTCAGAACTACCTGATTCAATTGAGTAGAGCACTTCAGCATTTCTCCCTTTGTCTTTGTCCAGAGCTGTAACCTGCAGCACAACGGAGCCCACAGCTGCCGATTCATAAACCCGCCCTTCATAGGATGAACTGGTGAACCACGGAGCGTGGTCATTCATGTCACTGACATTGACGATGATCCTGGCAAAGTTGCGTTTCACAGGGACATCCTGATCCCGGACCTAGGGGGAAAAAATGAACATGTTGTTTACTCTAACTGGGGTTCCTCTTTCTTTTGGATTTAAAAAAACTAAAAACAATAAAATAATACATACATACATACATACATACATACATACATACATACATACAATCACTACCCCTTCCCATCACAGGAAACCTGCCAGTCAAAAGGAGAGATGTCAGGGTAAACGGTGCTGTCCGTACCATGACTGTGAGAACGTGCTGGTGAATGGCTTCGTGGTCAAGCTTTTCAGAAGTGTAAAGAGCTCCTGTCGCAGGATCAAGGCGGAATTTCTTGAGACTTGCTGGATCTATGCTGCTCTGCAGAGTGTAGATCAATTTGTTTTTCTCATCCCTGTCTACTGCACTGATCTGCAGGATCTCTGTTTCTGGCTCTGTGTCTTCAGGGACAGCAACTTCATACTTCGATGTAGAGAACTGGGGGCGGTGGTCATTGGTGTCTATTACTTTGATGAGTACCTGGAACGAGTGATGAAGCCTCTCACATAAAGACTCATAATCATGCTTTAGTATTTAAATAAAAATACATACATATTGAAAAAAGGCTATTGAGCCTAACCAAATATGAACACGAGAAATAAAAGTGACAAAAATCTATAATCAAAGAGACTGTCTACAGCTTATCTTTAGTATACTATTTACTTAATATTTAACAATAACTGTGGAGATAGAATTCTGATTGCAGTTGAAAATTGTTTATGAAATACAGGCTAATTTCTCATAGGTCTACATGAGAGCTCTGGGGATGACTCATGGAAAGGTATTGGAGTTTACTCTGCTGAGACTACAATGTATCCATTTCCTAAATTCGATTTACACCAGTGAGAGGGCTGGTAACACTATTTAAATTTCTCATTCTAATCTCTGAGACTCATAAGTCCCTCATAAGTTTTTTCATACAAAGGAACAACTAGAAATGGCTGAAAATGTCGACTTCTAGCATGCATGAGCTGGGGCTTAGAAACTCCATGGCTGCTAAGGTCAGGACGTGTGGTTTCAAGTTATATTTCTGTGACTTCAAACCCTATATAAGTAGTGGATGTTTCTTTCCTAACAGTAATTAAGAAGGTTGAAAAGAAAGACTCCTATAAATATGGTGACACATAATGACAGCTTTAGAGCAAAAAGACAGATGTCAAAAAACTTAAGTCATAATTGGAAAGAAAACATATTTACCTTGACAGATGATTAACTTTTGGAATGAGGTAGCATGGGTGGGTAAGGCACAGTGAAAATCAGCACCAATCATAAAGTACAGTTTATAGTTTATAAACAAGAAAGCTGAGTTCCACTGGCTTCTACAGAACCCAGGGATTTGTTAATTTAAGAGGAACAAGGGGGCCAAAGTTTTAGTAATGCCAGGTAACTACAGACCTCACCAATCTACCCACACGAAGACAGAATTTTCATGAGAATGTACCAGTGCCCCCGAAGAACACCACGGCATCAAAGGATGCATTTTCACACTCATTCTATGTGAATACAAAATTCGCTCACTAAAACATACACACACAAAAGATTGTATGTGAACGGTATGTTTCCATTTGTAACCTTCAGTGACGCACATTTTAAGATTAAAGAGGACCCAGGAGGCACAGCTGCCAAAGGAAGTTCTTTTATAAATCCAATCATGGTCTGCTTACAAATTTAAAACTTTAAGTTGACCATGGTTCGGGAACTAGGCAGGAGTTTGATGCTGCTCCAGCAGGTCCGGTTAACCATTACTAAACAAAGGCTGGAAAGAACTAGCATCTCATTTTGACAAGGCAGTTCGTGAGACACAGGCCCACTGAGCACTGCTCTCTCCCACAAGGGCTGAGGGTAAAAATCAAGTGTATAATAGTAACTGTCCCCACTACACGTTCCATCTCCCTGGGCAATATCCTATTTCTACAGAGCCGAAAACCTGCTAGCACATCATAAGATGAGCCCTTTTAAAGTCCAGAGGCTGGCTGGGACCTTCCAAAACAAGGAGTTCTGGGGAGAGGATGAGCCAGGAAGGTCAACGTTGACGGTGCAGACCTATCTTTTAGAGACTGGAAAGACTTGGACCCGAAAGAACAAAGGATAGGGATGAAGGTGGAATCGAACATGTGCAGCCTCAAGTCCCGAGCTAAGCATGGAGAATTAGCTATCCTGTCCACTTCACCAGAGGAAACACACTCCACCGCCTCATCCCAGTCAAGTGGGCCATTTTTTTTTTTAAGCAGATAGAGTTTCAGGGACCAGAGACAGGGAAATAAGTGCAGGTGCACAGGTATGTGGGTCAGGAGTCTGTGTGGTGATACTGTATGAAGTCTGTGTCCTGTGAGCATGTCCTAGGGACTGGCAGTGCAGCATGAAGAATAAGCCCTCTGGGCCATCCCCCTTGACTCTTCTAAGAACTGGGCAGACGGCTATGGGAAGACGGCTAGCAGTACCCTCAGTTTCCCGATGTGGCGATGAAAGCAGAGGGAGCCTGATCTTTGTCCCTGCACAGGAGGAAGGAGTGGAGACAAGCCTCAAACCAGACTGCCTGCTCAGAAAGTAATGATCAGGATGTCCCAAGAAAGGGAAAGAAAACTTAAGAGTTAAGCTTCTCCAACACCGCCCCCACCCTGTCTTACAAAATAAATTTAAAAAAAGAAAGCAGTTGGATTTGTAAGTTATCTAGAGAGGCAAAGGAGAGAAGGAAAAAGGATCCAACTCCGTGCTGGGGAGCACCCTGAACAAAAGGATGAAGCTGTGTGCCCAGAACAGTGGCATCCACCATGCCTCCTTCCTGTTCTCCTGGGTCTGACAGGAACTATCACCGGAACCCTCTTACACCCAGCACCTGTGCTACAGACCTGACAGCACAGAGCTGCTCTGTGGGTTCTTGATTTTCACCAACACGCCTGCATCTGCCCAGTGCTTCAGGCCTTATCAGCACAGGTCAGGTGCCCGAGTCTCTTCACAGGATCCACCCTACTCCCTTCCAGATCTCTATCTCCTGGTGCACAGTCCCAGACAGAAACCTAAACCTAATTACTGCCTGTTCCCTTTGTCCCCGCCGCCACCCCAGGTCAGCCTGGGCTCTGTCACAGTTCTCTTATATTCTCACAACCTCTCTGTGCCAGCGATCCCTCCGGATACTGTCAGGACTCTCTGAATGTGCTGCAGAGTAAGTTACATGACTATAAACACTGCTCTGGAATTTAAAAGAAAGGGAGACTAATTAATCTCCTGCGTTTCAGAGGAATTTTAGTGACGTATATCAAAATTTCATGCTGGGTGCCCAACCATGCTAAATAAAAGCGCGGTTTGGGGGAAAAGAAGGGGTACATTACTAATTATTTCCTAATGAGGTAATGTCACCATGTGGAGACATGGTTGTGGCAATGAGGAAGGCTGTGGTGGAGGGCCAGCTCCATGCTCTCCCAAACTCCTCTGACCACATTCCCAGTCAGTCATGTGAGGTAGACTGTGCACAGGGACAGTGTCAACCTCTTGAAGAATGACTGTCAAGGTTTACTGTGATTTTTGATGTTTTAACTCTCACTTTCATTCTCTATAGTTTAACACCAGGGGCTTAATTTCAAAACAGAGAAAATCGATTTCTCCTGCTTGTCACTTCAGCGAGAAGAGCAGCGGCCGAAACAGAAACGGCAAAATGGCATGGCATCCTTCGCGAAGCGATTCAAGACGACCCCAAAGTACATGCCACAGCATTCGAAACCAATCTTACATACATGCAAAGGAGAAAGGAGTAAAACATTTTCACAGTTACCCTTAAGTTACCAAGTCACTTATTAACTGAACATACATCCCAGTCCGTAATTTTTAAACATGAGCGCAACTAGCTGCCAGGAGATGACCTGTTTCATTTAAGATTTCAGAGACCATAATCTAAAGATGGAACACTAGCTTTCAGAAGCATCTCAGTCTCTACGCTTTTGTTTTCTTAGGGATATTTAAGTGACACAGAAGCCTTTAGTATCCTAACCTCAGGACCAAGAGAACAGGACTTGGGCCTGCTACCACTTATTGCTTCTGAGGAAACATGTGATGTAACACAATTGTTCAACAAGTAACACAGTGAGTGAATGAATGAATGAATGAATGAATGAATGAATGAACGAACGCCTCCTCCTATTACTAGTCACCCAGGACCATCATTCTGGACAGCCAGTACTAAAGAATCAAAGAGAATTCATCTGAAACAGAGAATTCCACTAACTTACAGGGTTTTAACCTTTAAGTTTGAGAACCAGAAGTCTAGCCAGCTATTGATTCTCAGATAGCAACAAATAAACAAATACAGGGAACTATTGCTGCAGCTCCCATGAGCCTGGGTTTAGACGATAAAATCGGAGGGAGAAAGAAGGGAAGGCCAGGGAACGTACCAGCAATTTAAGATATTGGAGCTTCAAGAAAATGATGTGTACAATGCATTCTGTGATAAAGCTCTATCCAAACAGCTTAAACATGAGTGTAAAATTAAGACTGACGGGAAAACGGTAAGAGTAGGGTCTGGATTTAAGTTTCCCATCGAAACTTTTATGAGACTGCTAAGCATAAGGCAAAACCCCGATCAGAATTTGCATTAATGAATTATCTGTCCCTAAATAAGGACTCATGGTGTGTACATCAGCACACAACTGCCCATGCTATGTGCGCATCCTGCTATGAGGGCATTTTCTTGGTCCCACAGACCGACAAGTCATTGTTGCCCCCTTACCTGGGTGAGGATTGTGGTGGTCCCGTCCGTGGCCTCCACTGTGAGATTATAGTTGGATTTCTGTTCTGCATCAAGGGGCTTGGCAACAATGACGGTTCCGGTGCCCTTGTCCACATCAAAGTGGCTGTCATAGTTGCCACCTAGTTGAAATGAGGACAAACAGAACTGTTAGAGCAAATCACACAATAAAGATCTGCCATGTGTTTTATGGTTTTCTGATACTTAATGGCCGAGAAAACAGACTTCTAATACAATAATCAAAGTGACTCCCAGGAACTGTGATTTCAAAATGCAGGGAGAAGAAAGCGCTTTAGAGAAAACCTGGACCTCAGTGTGAGGGAGGACCCTCACTAAGTCAGCAGCTTCACGAGCAGAGCCCTGCTGACGAAACCTGTCAGTTACGTCTGACTTTTCAGCTATTATTAAAATTTGTACATCATTTTGAGAACCTCACTGAACATACAGTTTTCATTACTGAAAAAACAATTATACTAACTTGAATATACTACACTAGGAATTGACTATTAAAAAATGCATGCTAATTCTGAAAGAAACAGTCATAGTTAACTTGAATCAGACCTACTACAAACTCCTTAAAACTACTTTCAGAAGCAAAATCCTGTCTCACTAATACTATCCCAATATATCCCAATTATATTCTAAACGAAACTTTCTTCAAACCCACGGAAGTTGAGACACGTGACGAACAGAAGTGGAATGAAGATAAGGCTTAATGTCACACTGAAATCCTATGACTAAATCAATACCAAACACGCACACCCATTGTCACCATCATCACCATCACCATCATCAACCAACCAACCAACCAACCATCAATCAAACCAGAAACTACTGATGCAAAGTCAAGTTTAAAAAACAAACAAACAAACAAATAAACAAAAAACATGTTTGTGACTGGGATGGGTATCCATGCATTCCCTATGAAAAGAACCATGGTGGGGGGTGGGTCTCTGGAAACAAACTCCATGCTTTGATTTTTGATCTCATAATCACGTGGCAAATTCTGCCACCTCAGCAGATACCTTCTGCTGTGCAGTTCAGGTCACAAGTCATCTGAAAGATGTAAAACGCTTCTCTAGCGAGCGCGTCTCCTGGCACAGCCAAAGGAAGCAAGTAAGCGTGGAAAGCAAGCACAGAAGAAGAACAGTCAATCAAACCGGTTCCCAACAGTCAAGGAGGAAAACAAAGGCTGATACGGACAACAGAAGATGGTTAATCTGGAACTGTGAGAGAAGAGACGGTAAACTTTGTAGTTATGGTTAGCTGTGACACTGGTGGTCTCCCATTCAAGGACGACAGTAATAGTAGCTTCAGGGATAACCATTTCACATACTGGTTAGGCAACATGGCTTAAGAGGCAGAAGGAAGTGGCTAAGTTCTAACTGGAGGTGGTGGTTGCACACATACTTTTGATTCATTAAGTATTTCTTGTGATTAAAATGTTGTGGAGGAAAAAAAAAATCCAAGGCTAGTCTCTGCAGCCCATGCTTACCATCCCAGCTACTCGGAAGGCTGAGGCAGAAGTGTTGACAAGTTTGAAGCCACCCTGAGCAACTCAATAAAATTCCGTAAAACTAAAAACAAGGCTGAGCGTGTGGGGCAGCAACAGAGCTTGCTTGTCTAAGAGTGGGTGACAGATGTGCAGGGGGCTGTGTGAGCTTTGGGGTTGTACTATAGTCTTTCAAAGAGTAAACTGAGGAAGTGTGTGTTCATTAAGTAACAAAAATGCTGACTTAAGCACATATATTTTAGAGGAGGGCGAAGCTTCCTGAAAAATGAGGTAAATAACACTAACAAGCTATAGTCGACAGTATACATTTCATATAATCACAAATAATAGTGTGTGTGTGTGTGTGTGTGTGTGAGTGAGAGAGAGAGAGAGAGAGAGAGAGAGAGAAAGACAGACAGACAGATAGGCAAGAAAGTGGTCCAAAATATTTAAGTTCCTAAAACTACCTGTGTATGTCCAAAAAAGAATCCTGTAAAAGTGTTAATTGACTTGATGGCTATTTTGTTTATTCTTTTAAAACTTTTACATGGATGTTTTCCCATTGTGTGTTAATCAACACTCACCCATCTCACAAGCATGCAGTAACCACAGAGGCCTGAAGGGGGCATCAGATTCCCTGGAACTGGTGTTATAGATTGTAAGCTGTCATGTGGGTTCTGAAATCCAAGCTGGGTCCTCTGGAAGAGTCACCCAGCTCTCCTCTGCTGAACCGTTACCCTTTCTTTGCACCCAGGAGTACTTATTGTAATATATGTTGTGAAATCTTTTGCTGATGTCAAACCACTGCAATCTAAGGAAATTCTTTGAATATAAGTCTTTTCCCAAATTGAGATTCTAACATGTGAATGAAAATGAGAAAACCACATCAGGTTGCCAGTGTAACCCACACAAGGATGCCAAGAGCTACAAGCACCACGTACCGATGATGTCAAACCACAAAGGCATGGCAGGAGGCTCAACCGAGATCACGCCGATCATGTGAGCCACAGGATCACTTTCCATTACGGTGAATGAGAAAACTGATTCTTCAAAGGAAATCGGCTCCAAGGATGGTTTGGGTTTCGAGATCCACTCAATATGGAGTCTGGTGGTGGAAGACTTCTGGGGGCGCCCATTGTCAACTGCCTTAATCTATAAGATATAAACAGAGATGAAAACAGCAAATCACATGTTACATCCACTAACAGAAGCCAAGGCTGAGTACCACTTGATCGCCTGCTAAGTAACTGTCAGATACTCCAAACTTGTATCTGAATGCCCTGCAAGCTGACAGCTGGCTGACAAGGGGTTTCATGGCCATACTTGTTTAAACCCGCGCTTCTCAAAGGTCCAGCTTTGTCTGTCAGGTTACAACACTGAAGCCACTTTCTCAACAGAGAAGAGAAGAATTTCACGAGGAAGTTTGCAGAGAGGCAAGAGAGGCATCTGACTCACGGAAAGAATGTCGTATTCTCCGGCTGCAGAGAACTTTTTGGATGAGACCACTCCCGTTTTGGGTTCGATGGAAAACCTGCCATGCTCGTTCCCTTCCTCGATGCTGTAGGAGAGCTCAGCATTGGGCCCTTCGTCCTTATCGGCGGCTATGACTCGGTACAGAGGCTCCCGTTTTGCACTCCGGTCTCCGTCCGATTTTTCTCGCTCTGGGAGCCTGATTTTGTAAAACTTCTGAAGGAACTGAGGCCTGTTGTCGTTCTCATCGAGGATTTTCACAATGACTCTGGCAATGGTGGATCTGGGAGGAACCCCGTTGTCTGTCACAGTGACCTGGGTTGCAAAGGTAAGCATGTTAGAGTACCCCAAACTGAGTGCAATTTTAGGTTAATAAAAGGGATGTTAAATTTTTTTTAAGTCCTCTTTAAAAATCCCTTTGAGCATTCAAACACAAACTCTCTGCATACCACACTAAAAGACTGCCATTTTTAGGTTTTTTTCCCCCCATGAAGTAAGTACGCTATAGCATTATTTTAAAGTGTATACTACTTATTACAAATTTAAATATCATAGGTTTGAATACTAACCATGATTTTGAGGGTTTTCTTGTACCATTTTAGATGTTTAAGATGAGGAACAAACACTTAAGCCCACTGTATCACAAAAGGTTGTCAGGAAAAAAAGAAAGAAAGAAAGAAAAAGCAATGTAAAGTACTTGCTTCTAGGTTATTCACGCGTTCGGGTATCTGATTCTATGCTATTGGCTACACCTGAGTCAGTATCACCCTAGAAAGTTCACATTTGTATCAGTGTGTTGAAAAATAATGGCCTGCTTCCTGGCTTCTGTCAGTCAAGCTCCACCTCCTTCTAAATGAACTGAAAATACTAAAAACATTGAGAGATTAAAATTTTTCATGAAAGTATGTTCATTTGGAAACTTGGTAGTTAAATCCTAGTAATAAAAGTGTGAATATATCATTAAGGGAACTTGTCAAGAGGATTTAGAAAAACAACAATTGCTTCTGTACACTGAGGTACAAGGTTTATCTTCCTAAGCTTTTCAGGATAAAACAAAATGATTGTTTTAGTCGTAGCTCCTCTGAGCCCTTCCTGCCTGTCACATGTCAGGTGACCTGTACAGGAGGAGAAAACTGGAGAAGAAATGTGACCAAACACTGTGTACTGTAGGTTTCATTAAGCTCAGTGTCAACAAAGAGCTTTTCCAGCATTTGAAGTAATACTTTCCCCTCTCCAGGGCAGTCAAACTGATACCAACTGGTCTTCAAATACAGACACTAAAGAATGGCAGACACACACTAGACGCACACGGCACGTACACAAACGCCTTCCGCATCCTTCCCAGGAATGCCTTAGCACTGTCTGCAAAGCCCTTATGTGCCTTACAGCTGCCCCCACGTGGCTTGACACTCCCTGTGAAACAGCGCTCTACAACAAGGAGACTTCTGTGAAACCTGAAGTTTCAACCGGAGAGAGAAGGGATGAACCTAGATGAGTATGCAGTCACTTGAGATTCTCCACACTTCCCCATGCCTTCTTTCTCTGGCATTCATACCTTCCATCCCTGGGTCAATATCTGTAGTAACTGAATGAAAATTCAAAGCCCTGCTCTGTAATAAAGAAAATGAATTCATGGGAGCCACACAATTTATAAATGAAAACTCAATTCCAGTCAGAATCACTACTAGAAAAATGGAGTGGCTTTGAAACCAACTGGCAACCCACGCGTGTGTGCATGTACATGCACATGCAGGCTTAAAAAAAGAAATATTTTACTAATAACTTAGGATAGTTTGACCAAAGATAGAAATCAAATAGACAGCAAGAATAAGTTATTTTTTTAAAAGAAATTGCAAGTCATCATTTAGAATTTTCTCTACAAACAAACCATACTGTTAAGAGTTTGGATGTGTCACAGTCGGCTCACAAACAACAAAATACTTGACCCTATATCTCTGCTAGTGAACATTAGCACCCGATGAGAAATGTTCACAGAAACATGGGCTTGCTCTGCTGCACCCTGTCTCCAAAGGTGGCTGCCCCTGCTCATCTCCATGTTACAGGCGACCTGTCTCCTTCAAACCTCCCGCTCCATTCTGCAAACTATTGGCATCCAACCAAAATGGGGTAAACAAGCTAGTGCAGAGACATCTTAAATTAACCAAAAATATTTTAGAAGAGGAAATGTTCAGCTTCCACCTCCTTTGACTTTTGATATTTTTAGAAAACTTCTTTAGGTTACAAACAAATTCCAGGGTACCAGTACGTGACTAATGCAAATGATTTAAGTGTAAAACCACCTGGAAATAAACAACACACCATTTAAACAGTTAGGCTCGATCTATAAATACATCTTTAAAGGCATAACCGGGAGAAGTCTACAGAAGGTACAAAGAAAAAATATCGCTTCTGCAAATAAAATTCAAATGACTTTGGCTAGCAAAAGTATTTGTAAATCTCTGTAAGGGGTGCATGTAATGAAGTACAAAATTCAGAAGGGTACTTAGGGGTGAGTTCCTTTCCTCCGAGGATGGATGTGGGGGGTATTCATAATAAAACATCAGCAGCTATGAAGGGCAGACAGCAGGAGTGAGGGTGTTCTCAGGGTGTTTAGTTAGAAATAAAGAAAGACTTACCTCTAGAATGTGCTCTTCCTGCTGTTCTCTGTCCAGCTTCCTCGATGTGGTTGTGATGAGACCTGGAAAAGGGTAGACATTTATTGATCCTAACAAAATACCATCCATCATCACGTCTGACGAACTAATCAGACGTGAAGCCACAGGAATGCTGTGCACTGCCTTGCTCTGATGGTTCTTGGGAACATCGGGGCAAAGCACAGAACTATTATGGAAAGGGAAAAAACTCAAATCCATTACATTTCCTGGTCATAAGACATTTGGTCCGAACAGAATTTTAAAGGTCAAATGAAGTTATCCAGAACTTAATCTTTACCTGTGTCTCTAATACCTGTTCCAGAAATAAGATAAATGGTGAATTAAGTTCTAGAACTACACTGAAAAGGCACCGCTAGAAACCTGTAACCTACTACCTCCCGGTCATCTATCTTCAAATGAAGAATTGTTATTAAAAAATAAAATAAAGTATTTCAGGTAATGTTGCCTCAACAACAGTCAGTTAATTTACAGTAAGAGAATAAGAAAATGATGCCCATCCTGTGTTCCCCATTTCTTTGATTATATTATTAAACTAGAATAAACTGTCAACCTCTCTCTAGAACTTTAATCTTGATGTCTCTTGAACCGTCAATACATGCCGAAAGCTAGAAGACTGCTAAAATTGTTAGAATGTATTTGGATGATTCACTAAAGTGAATTCCACTAACCACTAAAGCAGTGATTCTCAACCTTCCTAATGCCTCGATCCTTTAACACAGTTCCCCATGCTGTGGTGACCCCTAATCATCAAAGTATTTTTGTTGCTACTTTCTAACTGTAATTTCGCTGTTGTTAACAAGCGTAATGTAAATTTCTGTGTTCTGACGGTCTTGAGTCAGCTGTGAAAAGGTCATTTGACTCCCCAGAGGGGTTGCAACCCGCAGGTTGAGAAACACTGCACCAAAGCATTCAATACAACTGGCATCAGCAGCATCGGGAACATTGGAGTAGTGTAAGAACTAGCTAGACCTGATTCGAGGTGAAGTTCACTTAGCCAGATAGATAGGTGCTGGGTCGGTCCTTCTCCTTCCCAGCATTGCCAGGAAAATAGTTTAATAACTTAACAGTTAGCTGTGGTTGCCTGAACAAGATGGAGCCAGGTGATGCTCCAGCATGAAACTCCTGAAGTCCTACCACTTACCTTGCAGCTACTGACTTAATGGCTTCCAGGGGGGAGGCGAGTTTTCTTCAAGAGTGTGAGCCTGTCTGAGTAGATGGATCTCTAGAGGTTGGTCCCACACACTAGAAGCCCACAGGCAGTATAAATTGGACGCGGTAGGACTTTTTTTTTTTTTTTAAATGAGGACGTGAAATTGGAAGGGTAGAGGGGAGGGGAATGAGTATGATCAAAACATGTTGTAGAAAACTCTTCAAAGAACTAATGAAGACTTGCTTTAAAAAGAAAACCAGCATTCCTCATAATTAATTTCCTCCCATATCCCTAAACTACTTTCCCAGAAGCAGTTAAAGACTATTATAAAATCTTTCTCCAAATCTGTAAATACCAGATGTGTACGTTTATTAACTCAATGCTTCGTGTTCTTAAATAACTGCACTACCTTCCAACTGGCCTTTCAACAAACCAGAAGACTATGTTAGTGCTAGACACTGGACTTTTTCCCAGACTATATCCACAGACACTGGAGCTCAAGGAAGATGCTTCCAGTCTTGTAATGTCAGGACGCGACAGCACCACCCAGGTTCGGGAAAGGTTCCTCAGTCATCCCTCCCACCCCCCACTCCCAAACAACTATGAATTCAAAGCGGTTGAAAAAGATTAGAAATCACCTCTATCTGTTCCAGCTAACTGTCTGAATGTTCTCATAGCATAGTCACTACCACTGGTAAGATGGCACGGAAAACGACTTGGCATGCTCATGAGAAGAACTTCTGTCTGGCACAAAGACACTCACCAAGGGCACCCAGGAAATTTCCATTAACACTTCACTTACATCAAAGTGCTAACAAAGGATTTAACCGTCTGTATTACCAATTCAATACAGAACCAAGTTACTTGGCCAGCTCCTGTTTCAGTTTAGAATTACTGGAACAACCTCCAGGCTTCCTGTTAGCCCCCTCCTCCAAACCCTCGCCCTCCACCTGCCTCCCACCGCTGTGGTAACACAGGGGAACAGAAATTCCATTTAAATGCAATGAATTGCAAGGCCTACTTCAGTGAACTCCCATCCTCTCTCACTTTAAACGAGTCTACTGTTAAGTTCCCTAGGGCTAATGACCCAGTGAGGGACACAGCATATGTGGGTCATGGCCCTCACCAACTGATGTTCACTCCGAAGCAGTGATCCAAATGTTGAAGACAACCCCAGAACAAGGCCCTGTAAGAAACTCTGCGTGAGAGATAGATAGATAGATAGATAGATAGATAGATAGATAGATAGATAGATAGATAGATAGAGATAGATATACCTATACATACATACTTACATACATACATACATACATACATACATACACAATATATTTGCAGACAACATACATGATAATGCCAAGCTTTCCTGAGTCACAACACTCTCACCAAAAAGAATTCCATCCACGGTTTCTATGGCTTTCTCCGGGAAGCCTTTGCCAAAAGGAAACTAGGTACTTCTCTAAGGTGTGCCCCACCTTCCCAGGGTACACTTTATGAAGCGTACAGAGAGGTTAACACCCTGGGGTACTAGCCCAACCTGCTGCATCCCTGGCCTGTGCACTTATTCTATGTTTATACTTACCATTCTGCTTGCTCGGCTCCTTCCTGTTGATCCCTGCCCAATCCCCTTCCCGCTGGACACCTGCTTCAAGACTGAATATTAACTGGGTGACTAATCTTATAGGTGTTAATATCTGAGATGGGCATTAAATGTCCTAAGAAACAGCATTATACATTCCCTTTTTTAAAAAAAAATGTGTATGTATGCTGTGTTTTCCCCTGAATCCCAGAAAGACACGCCCTTTAATAGAAAAGGCACAATGAATCAAGGTCAGGTGTCTGAGCTAAAAGGAAGTTAATTTTTCTCTGAGGTCACCAGGAACTCATTAACAAGGTCACAGTTAGAATTGAGTTCTCTCAGGACCCACATTTTTTTTTTAACTTCCCATCGCATCAAACGCATAACTTACTGTGTTTATGGCATTTCAATTCTTTGTAAAGTCTTAACTGTGACCTCAGCAAATCCTAACCGGGGAACTGGCCGTGATTAATCACTAGCATTCATTCTGTTGGGTCAAAAAAGTAAGAAAGAAATTAAGAGGGAAGATAAAAGCAGAGAGCACGCACACCACAGGCGGTCCCTTCATGTGTCTACTGTCATTTTCTACAAGCATCCTGAAGTTAAAAATAGAAGGGAAAGGGGGGACAAAGACTAGAAATGTTCCTTCCATGGTCTAGAAAAACATTACATCCTCTATACAAATCCTACAGGTCAGGCCGAAAGGGTTGGCGCGTTTCCTACCTTCAGACTAATTAGTAGCCACAAATTTACCTCCTAAGTGTGAGCAAGACTAAAGGAGAAAGCCAAACCTTACCAAAACTGAGGAGCAGGGTTGAAGTCATTTGTAGTCTGTCACATTAATGCCCACGTTTAGAAAGTTAAGCCAAAATGTTAGATTCACTATAATTCTTCCATGTTAATCTAACTTTAAAATTCTTTAACTCGGGACATCGTCCAAGAAAAGGTCTTTGAGAGGTAGACAGCAGACACAGGCACCTATCAAAGGACGACTCGGTGGAGATGGTGCTGCTGTTACACGTTTGTTTAATAACTCAGTCCTGTCCACTCAGACCCCAGGTGTGACTAACGGTGTCACGATTTCCACTGAGACACAGGAGTGGAAGCACAAGTCAGAACCGTGCAGGCAGATGACACTCGCTGAGAACACTGTTAGCTCACCAGAATCTGGTTGGATAATCAATTACAGCAACGATAACGATGATCGATTCAATACCAATCATACAATCTTCCTTAGCACTGGACAGCTAGCTAAGCATTGCCACCCAAGCCCAACCAGCCCTAAGCCACTGACCGCTGTCACCCAAGTCTGTAGCAGGCCAATAAAGCCAAGAGTCCTAACTAAATTATGACCTTTTCTGTTTAAATCCACCCAGGTTTAGGGATAGCTTGCTCTATAAGGCAAGCTGACATAGCAAGTGGTCACAGTACTAACCACTATAGGCCTTACTAATTGCTCAGGGACCATGTTTTGATCTTTAAATACACTATCTACTAGATAACATCTTCATTTGCACAGGTTCTAAAGATGAATTCTTTTTCAAAAATCACTCAGGAAGTTGAGAGTTTAACAACTCAGACCATCAGTAGTGCCTATAGTCTACATTAAAAGAAATCCAGGCCTGGAGGGGTGGCTCCGTGGGTAGAGGAGGTACTTCAGAGGTACCTCCTTCAGAGGCCTGAGTTCGTATTGCCAAAACCCATGTAGAAGCTGGCACTGTGGCTCACATCTGAGACTTCAGCACTGGAGGAACAGAGACTGGCAGATCCCCAGGAATTGCTAACCAGGCAGCCTAAAAAAAAACTGTGGGCCCTATCCTCAGTATAAGACCCTGCCTTAAAAATAGAGCGAGTAAAAGGTTAAAAAATAGTGGAGAAGACATTCAACTTCCTCAATTAGACTCCTGCCCAAGCAAGTGAACCTGCACACACCTGTGACAGACAGACAGACAGACAGACAGACAGACAGACACGCACACGCGCACACACCCATGCATGCACAGTTGCACAGGGAAAAAAGGAAGACCAAGCTGTTGAAGAAACAAAGAAACGGTGGGAGGAAAGGAAGGAAGGAAGGAAGGAAGGAAGGAAGGAAGGAAGGAAGGAAGGAAGGAAGGAAGGAAGGAAGGAAGGAAGGAAGGAAGG